TTGTGTAACGGAAGGTCTGAAGCACATCCAAAATCAAACTCATCCTAGATCTTTTCATCCTTGACATTTATAGTAACTTTAATCTGAATCAGACAAGATTTATGGCCCCTGGAGGGTCCCCAAATTCTGTATTTATTTCATATTTTGAGTATAAGGCAGCAGTTTAGGGTTGGGTTATACCTGGTATACGTATTGCAAGCTTTTCCACTATTTGCGTAAGAGGAGCGGCCATTTGACGACAAATCTCGGTCTGATTTTCATGAAATTCGCACTCAACCATCATTATGGTGTCACCGTGATATATGTGAACGTTTTTTAAAATAAAACTAATTGCGTCCGTTACGCGCCAATATCGAAAGGAATGGAAATAGAAATATTACAAAAAGAACCGAACAAGTAAGATATAAAATAAGATTACAATGCTTTTATGGCTAAACATGGATTATTAATATTGTCAACTTCAATCACTAAATGTCAAGACCCTTGCATGAACATATGCTATGTATATGTTTGTCCTCGTCATGAAAATATTAGTCCCTTGCTACAGACTTTTAAGATCACATACAGCATTATCAACTTATGTAAGTACGATTATAGAGCAAATGTACATGCAATTCTACATCGAAGTCATGCAGCATAATTCAGTCATGTTTAAAGCGATGAGGCTATTGAGAATTATGCACGGACCAACCCAAGTTAAGTGGACAGAGCTAGACGAATCAAATGGTACAGTAGGAGAAGCGGTTGCTGAATTAATACAACTACATAAACAGATGTTAAACGTGCTTATTTATTTAGGATTTTCTATAAAAGTTGTAACGAAACAGGTATCACAATATGATATTCGAACAAGTTTATAATTTCGGATTAACGAAATTTCCGTAATCACGTCAGAAACACATTTCGTTTCGATATACTTATTCTGTTCCTAATTAAATTTATAATCATGAACATTATATAACTAATGTTTAATTAAATATCATACCTATATCTTATAGTATCTTATCTCAAATATATCTAATATAAACGATTGACATCCTATACAACATATCATTCTTATACAGTATATTATCACAATGATTTACTTATTATTGATACTATACTCCATATATTTAACTAATGCCTTGCCTAAACCAACGTTTAAACTTCATAATAATGGCGGAGGAGAATTTGCAATTCCAGGTAAGGGTATAAAGGCTATCTATAAAGAATATTTACATTGGCATCTATGAAAAGGTATCGGATGATTTCTGATATCATGTCAGCACAATGTATGCACGCCTGGATCGGCCTCATAGGGCACAGGAACAATGCATACCTGCCTTCAACAATCCAGGAATTCGTCTAGGACAACGCCGGGAAATTAAGTTTTCTGACTAAAATGACCCCTTACCCGTGACTATAACCCGGACCATAACTGAGTAAGCTATCCAAACTCAGTATTTTCCACGTTATAATTTATGGACAAAGTCTCACAAACGTGAAAACTTACAAATTTCTGTTTTACATGAGCTTATTCTTAATCGGTAAGTTGCATTGTCCATTCCAGATAAACAGTAGGACGTTAAACCCCATTTCATTTCATTTCCATTCCAGATAAGTTCTGTCAGTACAGTTTCTAAACAACTATCAACATCCAAGAATCAATCCTAATAACTGTAATAACGAACTATTATTAGTGTTCCAAGATTGTTCTGTGTGTTATTATCTTGAATCTTATCTTATTTTGGTAGGTGTAAATGGTGTTAAGAATGTACATTTTATATATGACAATGGTGCCAGTCTAGAAGAATCGACTGGGAAAGCCGTTCAAGGGGGTAAGAGTACATTTAGAACCTGTGCGGTGGTTATTATTTTACTGTGATTCATGGAATTTACCTAAAAAACAATACGCATAATTAAAAACATGTTAATGTACCTCCAGCCCGCGCCCACTCTCTCATATCGTCGTCATAATAGACTGCTCACTCTCCCTTGCTACATAATACCTGCATTGGTCCCCAAATCCCCATCAAGTCTTAATCTTATAGCTTTTATCGTATTTTCAAGTAAGACCTAAAGTATAATTTAAAATAACCTTTCTCACTTTCTTGATTAGCCCTTCTCTCTCCGCCTGCTACCCGAGTTTAAACGTATAAATTCAAATACTTCGGAATTTATCGAGGAATGACAATTGAGGAATAACTAACTAAAAATGATTGGTAAAATAAACATCAAATCTGCCAGGCTACTGTGTAGTCTGTTTTTCAAAAGTAAGAGTATGATCGTTATAGAAGAAATAGTATTATTTTAGGACTGGCCTACAATCGAGATCATTACCTTGATAAGGCGATGGGATTGGTGATCGACGTTCTATAAAGTTATTAATATGTAGACTATGAACGATTTAAAGATTTTAAAAAAATGTTTTGGAATTCCGTTATTTTTTATGTTGTCACCAAAAGCTCAATGTATTAGTTATCATCAATAAAAGACGCACAACTTTTATCTAAGTCGAACAAGGTTGAATGTTATCTTGTGTCTAGATGTATATATAAAATCTATGTGGAGCAAAGTTTATCTGAAAATATGCAGCGTGCTCAATTAAATAGGCTGAGCATTAGAGTTATGTTATGCACTTATTCTAAAAATATACTTTTGAAAATGCAAATAATCCCTTACTCAGTGCCGTAACTTCAAGGAACGGGTTCTGAACCGTTACTAAAAAATGCAGTTAGCGACGGTATGCCAATGTCTGAGATTTAATGTGTTCACTCAGCAAAATAAATGAGTTTTTTTTTTTTATTTAATAACATCTTAAATATGTAATAAAATAGTAAGTGAAGACTAAGGATTGACTGTAACACACGGTTTGTCGCTTGATGTTTCCAAATAAATATACGGTGGCTTTAAATTAAGTTGTCAGCTATATACCTGGCAGTATTACGGTTATCCCCCAGATCGATTTTGTAGTGGGATGTCATTATCAAACATGATTGCACATTAAATTAGATTTAAAAGTTTAATTTTTAATTTAAAAGTAACGGTTCTTTAGAACTTAACTGTTGAGGAAAATGTCCCAAATATTTGTGACGCTGACAAAGAGTTAAACAGAATCAGTTATCTGACCACATTTTCGGTTGGCCGCTTCTGAAATATGGGATATTTCCCCATTTAATGTTAATGAGATACAGAAACTGGAAGTAACATACAAGTAAACTTGCAACTGTCCACCCTACATTTCAAACTAACCAACTTCTGAACTCTCGTATCCTTCCGCCTCAAAATTATAAATATTTACCTAAACCTGGCGGAAAATGTATATTCAAGCCCCTTTCTTCGACTCTACACCAAAAAGTCAACACAGATCGTCATGCAAAAGGGAAAGGGGAGAGAAAGAATAAAAATAACTTTGGCCCTTACTTCATGGAGTGACGATTTAGGTGGGCCGAGTCCACATTAGCTATTTCAGCATCACGTTTCGATAGAAACTTGACCTAATTGTCGAAATATATTTTTCATCGCCCACTGATGTCACGAGAAGTGCTTTAATTATCATTTGCAATAGGTGTATGTAAAGATAACGACTTGTAATTTCACCCAGCTCTTTGATAACAAATTGTCAGTAATTAATGTGTTTCTTTAATAAAATATTGCTTAAACCAATTTATTCATCTTTCAGTGGATAATGTTTGGCGTTTCACAGCACATCAATTATCCGAGAAAAAAGTTCGATATCAGGCTAAATTAGTCTTTGAGAATGGAGACGTGGTTCACAGTAGGAAACAGGAAAACAACATAGGTGATTTTTATGTACCAAACAAATTGTATTCATCGTCCGCCTGTTTTTTTTGTATTTCATTTTATCTGATTACTAAACATAACCGAGGTTTAGACGAGTTCTCTTCAAATGTACATGATGTTAAAGATATGAAATCAAATGAAATGAAATGTACCTATGAGGGAAATTCTGTCTACTCTTGTATCAAACTGGAACTGGCAAAGGTTATTTTACCTACACGCCAATGTGTGCGTTGTCCCTTGCAAACCCTCCGTCCTACACCACTGACCAGGTGGACCCACGTCGGATAAAGAGATGTTTCCTCGATAACCGTGATCCTAAATACATACACGAAAGATATCGGTTGAAAAAGTTACCAATCCATCGGGATATTATTTCAAGGAAAACTGTACATGGTTTAAGGTGGCCGCTATTAGGTACCCATAGCTAAGAAACCCCATCTCTCGACCCTGCGTGTCTAGAAATAAGAGACGGTGCTATATAGTTTCTTCTGGCAGAATCCAACGTGGACTACATAGTACTTCAGTAAGCAAAACTGTCAATTTTTTCTTCAAAACAACAATTGGTTATTGTTATTTATTACATTTCTGCCACCCCTAATCCTACCTGACACGGGTGCAGATCATCTCTTTTAAATCTTAAGGCCACAAAGCTTATTAGGCAATATTACAAACTTCAGAATAAATAGTTTAGAGGATTGGAGATATTGCCTAATTAGTAATTATGATCGTGAAAACATATTATAACTAATCCGAATCTTTACCCTTTACTCAATTCGTCATTTATGTTTTAACTTTTAAAACTAGTGAACACTAGTCAGGACAAAGTTATCCAATACATGTTTACATTTGCAATGAAGATATCATTCGAGACTATGGTGTGGTATGCTCAATGGAAGCATGTATCAGATTCAGGATGCTAAATTGTTCGAGTTCAACTGCATTATGAATATGTTTTTACTAAATCCTCGAAGTTGGATAGGTCGAAGTGATACAAATTTGAAATACAATCTGATCGGGATATTTAAACTTTTTAAGTATATATCAAGACAGATCAAATTTTATTTAGGGACGGTTAGTATATTAATCTGCTGCGATTTGTTTGGAATTTAGAAACTTCTAATTTACAGGTAACATCTTAGTTATGGAAAGTTGCTTTACATCAATAATTATTAAAACACGTTTTGAATAAGCTAATGAGTTTTTATTCTGTGTTCATTAGAACCGCTGTTAAAACTACCACCCCAAAGACTGCGAGGAGCTGTTATATTTCGTGATGATTTTAATGGTAACCAACTCAATACAAACAATTGGATGATCGCTGTTACAGCTACAGGCGATTGGGTCAGTTAATAAGATTTTTTAAATATTATTATAACATTCGATTTATATCATTTCCGCCTACTTTCTCCTTACAATTACGCCACACCTAGTTTTTGTAACAAATTAAATATATGGCTCTTCTACACATCTCTACCTTGACGTAGATTTCAAGCCTTTCGATCGTGATCTAATTAACTATTTTACCTGTCTTTCAGCATGACGAATTCCAGTGTTATACAAATGATGCTAGAAATGTTTATGTAAATAATGGTTACTTATACCTCAAACCTGTAAGTTTAACGTCTTTTTTGCTCCAGCTGGGACATGGAGACGGCTATACACCCTGCTGTGTACAGCCTACTCGTTTTTTTTAAAATTCCAACTGCCGACGGTTCTTTTACATGCACGCCAACGTGTATATTCGAACGACATGGCGAAGAACCTAGAATCCCCGGCTATTGAATCTGCTCCTTAATCACCGAGCCAATGTTGCATCGAAAATATGTCCTGCTCGAACGTTGGAACACTGTGTATTAAGGTGTTTGAAAAGAGTACAGTTGTGAAGAAATATCAATCGATCGTGTCAGAACCAATGCGAAGACAGATTCGTGGGTGTTAAAGATTTAATTTAAGTTTGGAACCTGTGTAATAATACATAATACCACTTCTTACGTACAGTTGTGAAAAAATTTCGACCGATGGTGCCAGAACCAATGCGAAGAAGGATTCATGGGTGTTAAAGATTTGGAAGCTTTGTAATATATAATACCTCTTCGTAAACCAGAATTGATATCAGATGTTCTGTTAATGTTATACTATGAGATAACTAATATCCATAATGTTTATTGGTTTTATCTAGACTTTAACAGTTGACAGTGGACATTTTACTGAGCAAGATCTATATACTGGAGTTATGGATGTAAAAAGTAAGCTAATATTTGTATTAATCACTTTGTAAATTACTCGTCGTTTCCTTCTATTTTTCTTTCGTATTCTTTTCTTTACATATATCCTGATTTTTTATTGTCCAAGAGTTAAGAACTGATTTTAAAAGGCGGTGGTACGACCCGGGTGATGGCAGGTGGGTTTTCCAGCTTGGTACCCTTGTAAATTGTGCAGGGAAATGAAAATGAAATAGCGTCTAGCCCGTGTATATAATGTTGTGCATATAAAAGGACCATTGACATTTGAAGTTCGATGACCAGTAGGCGGAAACGCCGTTGTCTGGGCAAAATTTCCTTAATTGCACACGGTGTGGTGGATGGATGGATGGACGTCTTCATTAATCCGGATAATGCAGACATGTAAACTCAATTCCATTTCTTAATTTGTACTAATATTTGTTACAGAAACGTGGGGAGTATGTACGGATAGTGGATTTAGAGGTTGTTATCGTGATGCTAAGAATGGTTTATTACCACCAATACTGTCTGGAAGAGTTGAAAGTTATCCTACAATTAAGTATGGAACGGTTACGATCAGAGCCCAGATTCCCAAAGGGGACTGGTTATGGCCCGGTAAGGATCTTTATGATATTGTTTAATTACTATTTCTTATATACACTGCCAGAAAATCAACTGGTCTATGTGTACGTATACATGTCCCTGTGCAGTCGAGATAATAAAATTTTCCATTTAAATTGCATTTGACAAGATAAAGAGAATCCATCACAATAAGAACAACAAAACTAGGCTATTGGCCATAAAAATTCCTTGTTGCTATGAATCCAAGATATAAAATAAAACCAAGTACGAACAATCCAAACCATTAGACAAAATTCGAAGTCCTAAAAAAACGGTATTGGCAAAATAGTGTAATCAGCAAATGGACTGTTCACCGTGACAAAATACACGACAAACAGTGGTATCAGGTGTCCGGAAGAGTATGCTTACCCTGCCTGGCGCCACACCCGCCATAGCTGCATCCAAACTATTAGGCGAAACCTCGGTAAAATAGCGTGATTGGTCAATGGACTATCCGTATGCAAAATGCACGTGATGAACAGTGTTAACGATGTAGTAGACATAATCCGGGAGATAGTATACGCGTCAATTAAATATATCTAGAATAATAGCCGAAAGGGACATGCTATGTTTACCAATCAAGTCAATATGACGGCCATAAAACTTTTTAAAGGTTTTTGTAAGTTTAGTGGGCAAGTATCCCTGTAGTTGAAGCTTAGATGACAAATGCCTCGATCTACTTAAAATATCAGAATAAAAAGAACAAGCTCACGGGTAACGAATTAGCTGAGACACAGACACTCCAAAAGCTGGTGATATTGGAATGTTACTGTATACTAATGAATGGAAAGTTACCAATCGGAAAGTTACGTCATCACGTTTATCGTACAATTTAACACTCAGTTTATGGCAATTGTCAAAATCGAGACGCAGATCCAAGTAGGAAGCATAATTGTCACTGTCAGTAGTGTTACCAATATTTGCAATTTGACAACACGTCGGCCCATGGTTCTCTTGAATGTCTTTAATTGCATATTGTGGCGTTTAAAGCGCAGGGTCAGTCACAAATCTGAGTTCGTGTTTAGTTAAAGAAACCAGGGGGTTTATGGCCTCCAGACAATATTCAATTAAAAATGCCCCAAACTACAAACACTATTATCCAGATCGATGAACTCAAGCATAGGCTTTGACTGATATTCCTACAAACCTTATGACGATAAAAAGTGATATTTGCCTTACGTCAAACTGTCCCTTTAGGTTAAAGTAAAATTACTATTAATTATATATTTTCCAAAATAGCAATATGGATGATGCCTAGAAATGGCACGTATGGTGGATGGCCAAGATCTGGGGAAATGGATATGATGGAAGCATCTTGTAAGAAATTTAATTGCTTTTTAACCAAGACAAAAAATACGAAATATAAAACAGTTGAAAGTTAGCTATATCAACTTTAGAAATATATATAAAGCGGTGCCCGGTGTTTTAATACAGATAAGAATGATCACAACACCTGGACAGGGGGTAAACACAATAATACCTAATTGGACACGATTTCTTAAACCGGTTTGGCCTTGTACTGTATTAAATCTGTCCCTCTCGGATGCACATGAAATGTGAGTCGGGTGAAAGCTGATCGGTTGCATATAAATGTGGTACTGGTGTTTTTCTTTACCTGTGATGAATTCAATGGCCGTGTAGTCCTACTTTCATACGTCTTCCAATTTACTTAAATATGTCGCCTTATATTGACTAACCGACAAATCAATTAAGTATGTAATTCTAAGTCATTTATTACAGGTAATGAAGTAATGTATTTTGACGATGGCACTAAGGTTGGAATACAAAGAGTAACATCAACAATTCATTTTGGACCAGACGCTATAGAAGACCATCCACTTCATGGTGATAAGTATGTTATAATTTGTTATTTTTCATGGGTTTTGTTTACACATACCAGGGAGTAGTTGCCACTGCTTATACGGCAGTTATCTGCCAATAGCGCTGAAACCACTCGAGGTTTTTTTTTCTCCATTTGCAGGGGTGAAGGAGCAAAGTGCGTTATTGCTCCTCCTTCCGTTTGCCCTGGACGCATAGTACTTGCCGAAGTTCGTACAAACAACAATCAATATAGTTTTCTTAATTATACAAAGTGATCATTTATCATTTATTAATTAATGGTTAATATTAACTCTTGAATGCTACTTTTGTATAATAGATGATTGAATGCGTTTTTATTCAACTTTCAGAATCAAATCCCAGGGTGATTGGCACAGTTTCCACATTTACACGCTTGATTGGTCACCTGACCATGTCATGTAAGTAACCTTATAGATCTTGATAACGACCCAGGTTAAGCTTAATTTAAATAAAATACTGCCTTGTTTGTTACTAGTTTTTACCATTGTGAACTTAATAGATTGCCCAGTTATCAATGTGGATTTTTAAATTGTCAGTTACCGCCCTTGAGAGTGTAATGTGAGTTATGGCCCTTATTGAGGTTATTTGTTTAGTTCAAGTCTGCTAGTGGGCATGTCTGACAAATATATAATTTGAGGTGGGGGCATAATACAATAGCCATCGACAAAATCTGGCTTACGGGGAAATAATGATCATATACAGTTTAAGACCTATCTCATTTCCTCTGTTTCTAAAATTAGTCTGAGTGTTGATGGAGAAGTTGTTAGTAGAATGGACATTCCAGATGGAACATCAGTTTGGGAAAAATACAACTTTAACGGCACCAACCCGTGGACTAGAGGCGCTAAGATAGCTCCTTTCGATCAGGAGGTACGTTTTATTCATATACATAAAATGTGCAGACTAGTGACATAAACGTTTTTTACGTACAAAGAGTAGAATAATGCTATAATTAGATACAATCTACCATTCTTAGCAATCTGACACCAACTTAATTTCGATCCCACGACCGAATAGGGTCACTTGTTTTAACCTCAAGGCTACTTTCCAAGTAAGTGAATAGTGTCAGGTGTAAGTGAATTAGTAAAATAAAGAAATGCCATGTTATTATTAAACTAATTTTATTATAATAAAGCGGGGTTTTTTTTGTTTAGTTTTACATGATCTTGAATGTTGCTGTAGGAGGAATAAGAGGCATGTTTGGTGAAGGTTATGTCCACTATGCTTACCCAAAACCATGGAGCCAATACGACATCGATCCATTAAAACCTTTTTGGGAACATCGTAAAGAATGGATGCCATCTTGGCGTGGAGACGACGTAGCTATGATTATAGATTATGTTGAATTTAGACTTATGTAATTTATATATGTATCAAGCTGTTAACATGTGTATAATATTTTATTGGTATAAGCTTATATTAAATAAAAGAAACTATTTCATAGGTATTCTTCCTTTACGCGCATTGCCTTTAGATAATAGATAAAAATGGCTATAGCTTAGCATATTTTAATATGTATAACTGGTTTATTGTCGCCTACAAGATACAGAGATACAGGCGAAAATAAACCATTTATACAGTGATTATCCATTCCTTGTCTTCGAAATTGGGATACATATTACGCCGTCTCTCCACAGTCATCTTTGCCACCAGAAGAGACTGGTTTGTAATTGTCGTGTTTGGGCTACTTAATACAATTTTAGGACGTGCGAAGGGTTAATCACCTCATGACAATTGACTGATATGTCAGAATATAACTGTAATGTTACAATGTCAGGGTTTCAAAATTCACTGAGATTTATCTTTTGCTTATCTGAACAGACCTATAAAATATATGTAGAACTTTTGTTTGGGGATGGGCTCAGATAAATCAGTGTACATGGTAGAAAGTAAATAGATCATTGGCTAGAACGCCCACTAGAATATGCAGCTCCAAAACTGAGATACAACTTTTGTTTTGATATCTAAAAATGCCAAACCCTAACCAATTATCCCAGAGCACCACAACCAAGTCAAGCATACGTCATGCAATGTCCTATGAGATAAAGTTTACCAGATGCTGGCAGGACATCAACCAGGATCATTCCGAGGAACTGTGTCGGTCCATACCGGGAACGACCTCAAGACGAGTGAACCCTCTCTCTATTTAAATGGATGAACAATTCATAAATATACACATTATCCATAAACCCACAAATATAGCATACATACCATGGATTATATAGAGACACCCTTGTTTTATAGAGATTTGAAAGAGTGGAATATTTTGAGAATGCAGCGCGGACGAAGGGTGGGGGTATGGTGTACAATCCTGCACATCTAATAGACCCAGCTCTCCCTACACACCCTATCCGGGATAGGCGAGGATATACAATAATTGTGAGTAATACAGGGCTGAAAATGACTTTTTGTGAAGTTTTAAATCTTTTTGGCAAATGAATAAATTGTTAAACTACTTAGAAGGTAATTGTGTTCATCTCAGGGCCACATTTCCTTAAGCCATACAATAAACAACTGATAGTTTTATCATTATAAGTTTTAAACTGTTTTCGAATGTCAGTGTCGGATGTAGCTATATGCTTGACGGGTGGAAGTCTAGGACCCAAAACTTAAGTTCTGCAATAATTATAATATGTTATCCTTCGGCTTTTTACCAGTTGCTTGCTCCGAGAAGTTATCATTTTACCTATTCTATTTTCAGAGTACTAAAATTGGACCATCTCCCTTAATGTCTTATGCGTAATAATTTGTTTAGATAATAATCCCTTATCACGTAACCTTGGATTAACGTTGTATAAATGATAGCTCGCAAGGAAGTCATTCAAATTCGTGGGATACCTACACGTTCCCTCTTTTAATTCTGGTTTGGACGGGTTGTGTGGCTAGTGCCATACCGAATCCTAAGTTTACATTATTAGCTGATGGAGGAGAATTTTCTTTAGATGGTTTGTATTATATTTTTATTGCTAAACAACAAAATATTAGCTCAAAACATTTTGTTTTAAAAGATAGGGACCAAACAGGCAGCATCAGTTTATACAAGTGCATACAACTCATTGATTTGACCCACAATAATAAGCGTTCTTTTGTAGACTGACAAGATAAAGCTGGTCTTGAAATATAACCGATTTTTTTATTCCACTGTCGATGCAGTCAGCTAACTATAAAATAATAGATCAAGATAATTCAATACTTATTTTGGTCATAAATCAAATATGTTTTGTAAGCACTGATGTACTGGGTGAAATGTTACCAGGACAGCGGCGTTTTCGCCTATACTTATTCGAATTAGACCTGTCAAGGGTTCATTTATGTGCATGTCCACAGAACCTTGTCAGCCCCCACCCGTTCGTTCTGCACAACTGAATGACCTCGTTTAACACTGAAATCGATCGCTGGACCACCTGGTTATTTAGCCCGTGCCTTGCTCACTGAGCCACCAAATAGGGTTAGGTGGACAAAAGTCGGCTTTCTTTTGCTAGATGAGAATCTGTCTCCCTTTAACTTGTTATGTCAAAAGACAAAAGCCGGCGTGGAGATATTACCAATTTTGTGTTCCATAGTAAGCCAAATATGAAATCACAGATCACCTTAATGTCATCAATAAAATCGGGTTAGGTGAATAAAAGTTGAACGTCAAGCCCCATTTCAATTTGAAATAAGTTTAGGTTCTTTAATAGTGTAGCTAAAGAAAGCATAAATTTCTTTTGATTAATTTCAGGCATACCAGATGCAGTTTCTGTTCGTTTTGATTATATAGTTGGTAATGAATTGGTTCGGATTGGAGAAGCTACGAAAAGAGGTAGCGTATACGTTGTTTCCCATTTGACAATATGATATATTTTGTTTTTCATCTTATTTAAATTGATATGTGCGTTTCGATGTGAATGTAACCGGAAAATATGTACCTTGGTTATTACAACTGGTTAACAGGATCTAAAGGAGCCGAGGACGAGATTGTCTGAATTAAAACGACCATTACCAGTGTACAACTCGGTGTACATTTTGACTGGGTTCTTAAGGGGCAAGAAACAATACGTTTGCTCGGCATTGTTCATATCAAAGATATCAAAAAGGTACAGGCATTGGATTGAGCGCTTTGTTTCCAGCTTCTAGGGTTAATTCACACTAAGAACCACTGCTACAGTTTAAATATAAGTATCATCATTGCGTAGTAGTTTCCAGAATTTAATATATTGCGAAACCTTAATCAAATCGTTTTAGGTAACGCATGGTACTATAAGGACCCAACTATAAGAGCCCCTGGTAACATTGTGTTTTTCAGTAGAGTAGATTTTAACAATGGAGACATTATCTTCAGTGACAACATTACATGGAAATCTGGTTAGTAAATTTTGTATTTCAATTGTTTGTCGCAAATATTTCCAGCGTGTGCATCATCATTATCATCATCAAGAAAAGATTAAGTTGTTACCATACCTTAAGCTGTATCACATTTGTTAATCTTTTCTCTACAAACAGCACCATTGGCTACTCTACCACCGAGAAGAATGCGTGGAGCTGTTGCCTTTAGAGATGATTTTAATGGAAACCACTTGGACACCAATCATTGGCTAATACAGGTTACTGCAACAGGAGAATGGGTTGGTTTTCCCTTTTTACAATATAGAACTGGTTTTAAAAGTTTAAATGTTATGGGTTTTATCCAGATGTTTGTATATGTATTACGAACAATAAAGTGGGATATACCAAGAGTAACATGTAAATATTAGCCTTTGATCAATATCATACACATCTTGGTACTTGGTACTGTTTTGTCTGTTAATACGAGGGTATATAATGCACACAAAACGCTAGTATATTTTATCCAGAAATTAACTTAACTGACTCGGAATTCTGGGGTTTATTTTTTTTATACAGCACAATGAATTTCAAGTCTATACACATGATCCACAGAATGTATTCGTCCGCAACGGCCATCTATACCTGAAGCCGGTAAGTCAGAATATATACTATTCAAAAAAAGTAGGGGATATTTGATTTTTAAGTGTTATTAAAGTCACCTAATGAAACTGACGAAGAAACAAATGACAAAATGAAATGAAGTTCACATTCATCGATTTATTCCAAATGATCGTTAGACTAAGTAAGGCACAGACTGACCATTATAAGGGTAAAATGATACCCGGGGTCAAACAGCAAAGTTACCACAGCATCACAACCAAGTCAGTAACGGGTAAATCCTCCTCTGTTTGCCAAACAAGCATTGATCCGACGTGGCATACTCCTAATGAGACGTCTAAGGTCATTTTCGTCCAGATTGTCCCATTCCTGTTGCAACGCAGCAGCAAGTTCTTGGACATTGGCAGGACGTTGTTGGCGTTGACGTAACCTCTGTCCAAGCATGTCCCAGACATGCTCGATGGGGGAGAGGTCGGGACTCAGTGCTGGCCAAGGTAATGTGGTGATGTTCTGTTGTTGGAGGTAACCTGTAACGATCCTGGCCCTGTGACATCTTGCGTTGTCATCCTGGAAGATGAAACGGCGGCCATGACGTCGTGCGAACGGCACAACATGGACTGCCAAGATGTTGTCCCGGTAGTACTGGCCTGTAACACGCCCTGCAACAACATGTAAAGCCGTTCTTCCAGCAACAGTGATGCCTCCCCACACCATAACAGAACCACCCCCAAATCGATCATGTCTGATGACGTTAACGTCTTGGAAGCGCTCGTTTCGACGACGCCACACCCTCCTACGTCTGTCCAAAAAATCAACAGTGAACCTTGACTCATCTGAAAACATCACATTGCTCCAGCGTCGATTATCCCAGTGTTGACGATCCCTACACCAACGACGTCTTGCTTGAATGTGATGATCTCTCAAACAAGGGATCACGCGAGGACGTCGGGCGCGAAGGTGACCCCTATGCAGTCGATTCCGAATCGTCTGGCCACTCACTCTCACACCAGTGTCTGTTTGAAGACGAGCGCTGATCTGATTTGCTGTGATGACACGATTTCTCAAGGCCAAGGTACGGATAAATCGATCCTGGGCTTGAGTTGCCGCCCTTGGTCGACCTGAGCGTGGTCTGTCCTGTACAGACTGTGTATCACGGTATCTGGACCATAGCCTGCTTATGACAGACTGAGAAACATTCATCGTCCGCGCCGATCTGTAGCATGCCAAGGGCACGTAACCTTTCATTTTGGGTAAGCCGACGCATATCAAAATTTGTTTTCTGGTCACTAAAACAATTAAACTGATGTTTCCACCCTGGAATTCAATGCCACAATGACTGTAACATTCAAAGTCAGAGTCGTGCAAATCTTGGGTTGGACCCCCCATGATGATCCCAAGCATCACCTGCATTCCATGCGGTAGCTATTGGTGCGTTTGGGCGTCACATGTAACTGGAAATGTTTCTTCTGTTAGGTTCTATAGTGACTTTTTTCGTAGTCATTTGCATATTTTAGTATTATGCCCCCAAAATCAAATATCCCCTACTTTTTTTGAATAGTATAGGTATATAATAAACACTTAGCTAAATGCACTAGAACATGGGGTTTTAGGAAGAAAATGTATTTGATGTCTTGGTGTAACACTCGAAACCCATTAACCAAAATAGTGTACTAGTAAGTACGTAACAAATAGAATAACATATTTCATAGTTCAATACATATTCATGTAAACGCTTCAGGACACCTTGAATTAAATTTAAAAATACAAAAATCATATTTTCTCTAAATTATATTCTTTTTTCAGACACTGACAGTGGATAATTCTCATTTTACAGAAAATGATCTATATCACGGAATATTAGACGTTAAAAGTAAGTTACAAATAAAAAATGGATCAGTTTTTATAAATGTCTAACATGAGACAACCCTGGGTTCGTTTAGTGGCATTCCCATGGTATTTTTGTCTTGTATTTTAAGAAACATGGGGCGTGTGTACAGATAGTGGATTCAATGGCTGCTATCGGAATGCGAAGAATGGTCTTCTGCCACCTATATTATCTGGCAGGGTTGACAGTAAGCCAACTCTCAAATATGGCACCGTGACCGTTCGAGCTCAAATACCTAGAGGAGATTGGTTGTGGCCAGGTATGTTATTTATAGTATTAATAAAAATAGAATATAATCCCAAAATATAATCCCCCAGCAACACACTTGACAAGACTGTTGTGCGAAAGTAGAAGTTTTTATTCCAGGACGCCATATAACATAGCTTATTATACGCTCACTCATAGTTTAAATTTGAGCGCAATTGCTATTTTCGTTGTGAGTTACGGTCCTATAATTAGTGTAGCTGTTGCTGTCTGATCAATAGAGGTTACCATTTTTGACTATTTATCAAACCCTAGAACCATGATTTTTATGAGAAGACGACACCTGGGAGTGAATTTGAGTGCAACCGCTTCCTTCTTTTTGAAGTTATGGCCCTTTATTTAGCGTAATGCTGCTTGTCCGCTGTCTAGAGGCCACAAATTTTGCTTTCGGATAAGCTTGAATGTTGTTTCGAGACAAGGCTATGCAACTATAAAATTACAATGTATTACTAACAATTTCAGCTATATGGATGATGCCAAAAACAGGCAAATATGGAGGATGGCCAAGATCAGGTGAAGTTGATATGATGGAGGCTACATGTGAGTTTCTACTGACAATACGCAGTCTAGACAAACTAAACTTTACTTTTGACGGAAAACTAATACATACGTCTTAAGCACCTCAACTGTTGTGTGTGGCTATTTGAATTTTCCATTGTTTTAAGTTGCGTTCACGCTGCTATCCTGTTGATATGAAATATAATGTATCCACTAACATTGGGCTAATCTAACTTTAAAATTACTATGTAAATACACCTTTCAGCCCCAAAGATACTACTGCTTTCTTAAGCCAATGCACCAACTAAATGCAGCAAGTCCTTTAGTTTAAACCATATTACGAACTGCATATCGAGTGCAGGACGGAGGATCTGGCAAGAAACAATTATGTAGTGGCGTGAACGTAAATGAATCATTGACATTTGGGAGAAAATACCGTTCTCTGGACAAAATTATCCACACAGCACACTGCGTGGCATATACCCGTTTCCATTATCCCGGTTGGTGCAGAAACATAGGACGTTAAACCCCATTCAATTTGGTTTTTTTTGTTTTAGCACGATGCTCAAAATTAGACCATACCAACATATCTGTTCTTCTTTAAGGTAATGAAGTGATGCATTGGAGTAACGGACAGAAAATTGGAGTTCAACGTGTCACGTCTTCTATTCATTTAGGTCCTGGCCTAAGTGAAGGTCGCCATATCACCGGTGCAAAGTAAATATAACAGTAATATAAAAATGTGTTAGCTATATTAAATTGGAACTCCTCTATTGCTTGACATCAATTTCATTTCGTCAGGCAAATAAAGTGAAAGATAACAAATAATAGAACTGGAACATTTCCTGCATTGGGTCTATGTGATATAATTCTTTTATAGGACTAAAACCTCTGGAGATTGGCATGGTTTCCATACATACAAAATGGACTGGTCACCTGATCACGTTATGTAAGTATATAACACGTCTACATGTTTTATCAGGTATGCCAGTCCTACAAATTGTTTTAATCGCCTACTATATATATCATTATTTCTTGCTTTAATTATAATCCTAAAATTCACCCATCTGTTTATTTTATCGGCATGCTCAATCTGTCAAATAACAACACATTGTGCCATCAGAACATTGCCTGCCAATGGCACCACTGAAACTTCATTTATTAAATCAACCTCGTGGGTTTCCTAGTTCCGAAATGACCTTGTTTGTGTCGAATGGACTTTAACACACACACACACCCTCACTCTCTCAATCTCTCTCTCTCTTCCTACTAAAAATCACTATTTGAACTCTCGTAATCTCCGATAGAGGAGCTTTTTGTGCATTACAAAATCAGAAAATAAAATCACTTTTATGGACCACTGGTCAACTGCTGATTTAATAAGAGCAATTGCTGACGGAATCATTAATTTTTCGGAATGGAAACATAGGGCATTAAGTTGTAGTCTCAAAGTTTTGGCCATGACCGTAATATGTGGTTCCTATCCACGTCCATAAACAAAAGTACATGATATTTTATTGATATATTTAAGCGACGCCATCGCGAATGCCACTGATTGATGTCGGAATTTATCACATGTAACTATATCAAATTTAATTAATATATTTAAGCCTGTATGTTGATGATCAAATGGTAACAAGAATTGATGTCCATTCTAATACTAACATGTGGCAGCATCTTGGTTTCCATGGGAACAATATTTGGTCAAGTGGTTCACATCTCGCACCTTTTGACCAGGAGGTTGGTTGGCGTTTAATATATTTATTTCGTATTTATAATTTTGTTTTTATCAATATATTACATTATTTCAGTCTCTATGCTTAAGTCACTCTCGCTACATAAAGTCTATGGCTACAAATAAACAACGTATGTTTTCGAAATTAGTATTAGTAACCTGTTGTATGTAACAATATATCAGATGAAAGTGATCAAAATGGTCTATCTTTTGTAGTTCTATATGATATTGAATGTGGCCATCGGCGGAACAGGTGGCATATGGGGAGAACAAGGAGTTACCTATGCATATCCTAAACCATGGCAGAATAATGCTAAAGATCCAATGGCACAATTTTGGTCAAACAGAAACCATTGGTTACCAACTTGGCACGGAGATGATGTGGCCATGATCATTGATTATGTTGAGTTTAGACATATGTAATAATATTCCTATTGAGGTGTATTGATTAAAAATATATATTTTGAACTGTGTTATACGTTTCCCATTGCAGCTTCACAAAAACCTTAAAACAAATGCATGTGGAATAAATTTGTCCTCTATTCATATTTTTTACTTTTGAATAAATGAAGGCAAGCTTCCGATTATGTTTAGGGTATAATTGTACTGTTCATAACCACCGTGCATACATCGGTATCATAACGAAATTTAGGTGTTGTGTGGATTGTCCCACTAACCAAGAAAATTCCTCGCTATTTACCAGTCTGACTGGTGTTTGTTTCATAACGAATTTAAATTTATAAAACCACTTTCTTCATGAATGATAGAACAGATTTGCACTCTCCATTCACGTCTGGATTGGTATGCCTACGTAGAAAACAGTGAAGGTACGTTTAAAGGGGGTTTGTCACACATCTAGAAAGCATAAGACAAAAACGATATGAAATGGGTTTAACAAGGGGACACCACGCCCGAGAATCCCGAGGAAATTTCTCGCTCCACACTGGTTAGCGAGCCAGAATCTTACTCACTGATCCACCGTGAATTTTTCAAATCGAAATTATCTGTTCTGTGGGAAATCCCAACATTAAATTGTACCATTGCATATGACTAACGGCGGTGGTTACTCGAAACTTTCCTTGTATCCCCTTCCGGTGCCACCTTTAAAAGTCACGTTCGTCAAAGTCACTACACCAGCTGTCTATCGAAATCAGTAAAGTTCTTTGAGCCAATATTGATCTATCGAAAACAGTAAATACTTAATAAAATTAATTTCGGAATAACAAATGAACAAATCAAGCTAATACACTCAAAGCATATCCGTTACTAAAAGACTCCATACTTTTAAAGTCTAGATGGCCACTTTAATTTGTAATATGGTTGAATAGAGTTGCTGTCATTCATGTACCAGTGTTTTCACCTAGAGACTTATACGCAACCTTTAAAATCATACTTTCACTTTGATACCACTGAATCGTAAACATGCATGTATAAGACCACAATTGTTTTATGACACCAAGTGAAACTGTACGTGCCACTTTAATGTCAGGCAGAATGATCTATTTAGATAATAAATCTTATCATAAAAATTATACATGTATATAAAACCGTATGTCACGAAGTCATTCAAAATATTAAAAAAAATCTGACATTTTATAAATGGTGTCCTTTTTAATTATTAGATATAAATATTTAAATCAAAATGTCTGGCGAAATTTAGCCATCTGGAAATGATCGACATAATTGCTAACCAGTAAGGGATAAATGATTATTTTCCATTCTGTTATCCGATAAACGCTAGTAGGTTAATTGTCGGTTAACTTGTCTTCAAAATAATATTTTTTTCTGGAAAACCACAATAAAAGCATAATAACCGATGTCACACAGTGTTCCAGATATACAGCAAGTGCCTTTTACTCAGAACTAGACAGTTCTAAAATATTAGTCTAGTTTTCAACGTCAGAATTTTATCAATTTTCAATCTAACTGAAATGATTTCTTATTTTGTTACGACTCTATGGTTCTAATCTTCTACAAATTATAAGATGTTACATATATTCAGAACAGCTGACCCCGGCTGCCTTCTTCTTCAAGAGAGAGAGGGGGGAATGGTATTTAACGTCCACTCGACACAAACTAGGTCATTTCGGGACTAACACATGGTTCAATTTTATTTCAATAATTCGCTTGCGCGTAGGGTCTTTAGCAGTGGGAAGAAACAGGAGAACACGGAGAAAACCCACGAAGTAGGACAGGCGACTCTATTCCTTGTCACGTACAACCGTGGAATCGAAACCACGCCAGTTGACTCAATGACAGTACTTAACTACGAACTAGCCTTAAGTACTTGAGCCCGGTAAAATATAAGATAAGGAATATAAACTGAAACAAACGATTGCTTAATGGCCGAATGGATTTCAGATGTTAGTTTCAAATGGCTTTGATTTGGCTGATTTCACTGGATTTTTAAAGTTGATTTGTAGTAGTTGAAAAATTATATCCGACGATAAATTGATTTGTCTAACTTAATTAGTAAAGTAAACAAGCCGGCTTAATTCCACTTAATATTCGTTCATCGTTAAGAAATGAAATGGGGTTTAACGTCCTACTGTTCTGCTCCTAAACTGGGCTGATGAAGACGGGCATACGCCATACAGTGTGCTATGAGGGAAATTTTGCCCGGGCAGCGGCGCTACGGCATACTCTTATATCGAATTCCAATTGCCAAGGGATCTTTTACGTGCACGCCAATATATACACGAGACCTCGGTTTTTCGTCCCATCCGAACGACTAGACAGTTCTCCTTGTCAGACCCTCCATCCTGCATCACTGACAAGGGAAGACCACGCCGGAAAATCTGGATGAACTTTCTCGGCCAATGCAGGGATCGAACACCCGACCTCCAGGCTAGCGTCTTACCCACTTAGCCACGTGATCCCTCATCGTAAAGAGACTGGAACCATTACAAATGGAAATATCACATCAAACGAACCCAGTCCAATATGTTTTTTTGGGGATCTAAATCTATAATAGTAATTAACTTCTTTATAGATAATCTATTTAAAACATCAAGTGGGGATTATATTGAATGAGTGTTTTTCGGCTCTCCAATAATTGTCCCGCCAACACCAGCTACTGACCGGATGGTGTCTGCTGTGAGGGGCAAACAGAATGCGTATTTTGCATTCCGCTAAATATTCGTATCTTAGTTGTTTAAATTCATAGGAACCAACTACCATTTATTACATGCATACCAGATGCCATTGATGTAACGTTTGGTTATACAGTCGATGGCGAAACTCCAAAGATTAGAGACGGCACAAAAATAAGTAAATAGTTTGGGTTTTTTTTTCGGTTCAGTACTAAATTAAAAAATGTAGTTAATTTTACTCAAATACCCGTTTACGGCCATTTTTTGTGAGCAGAATCTTCAATTTATCAATATTTATGGATAATGGTTTTTTTTTTATTTTCATTAGAAACATTATGAAAGAAGTCAACTTCTTCAGTCGTTTATTAAACTGTTTTAGATATAATGTTTGGTATTTTAAGGACCCTAAAATACCGGCTTCTGGAAGCATTGTTTTTTTTTAGTGACGCTACTTTGAGTAATGGGGATGTTGCCTTCATTCAAAATATTACGTGGAAATACGGTAAGTCATTTTCGTTAAAACTTTCAGACAAACCTTCATGACCACGTGCAAAATCCTCTTAATATTTTCTTTCCGGGCACGTATCCGCAACCTACAGTATTGTTTATTTTTGTGTTAATTTTAACTTGTCTTTACATATAGCACCAATGGCTACACTACCACGGAGAAGAATCCGTGGGGCTGTTATTTTCAGAGATGATTCTAATGGCAATGACTTGAATACCAATAATTGGTTGATACAAGTCACTGCAACTGGCGAATGGGTCAGTTTTGTCTCTTTGCAACACATAATTATAAAGTTTAAATATTAAGATTTTTGGTTGCTTTAATTAGAAATTTTGTTTTGAAATACAACGAATTTTGACTCCTAGAGACATTTTTATCTTTTCATTATACTGTTACTGTTTGGGGTGGACTATTGATTTATGAATACTACATTAAAATCTATTTCTGAAACACAAATTTGAAACCCTAAAAAACAGTTGTTCTCATTAGGATGTGTCCGTTTGAGGTAAGATATTGTTCTAAGACTACCCATTGATAGTATGGCGATAGAAACGGGTGGGGGATTAAGGAACTGAAACAAAATATGTACAAGGCGTGTATGAACCTAATTTATATCTATATTTATATTGTTACTTATTTCCCGCTAATTAGTTTAACTAACGATATTTGGTCATTATGTTTTATACAGCACAAAGAATTTCAAGTTTATACCACATGATCCACGCATTTGCGTCAGCTAAATTTGTTACATTTTCTCGGAGTCGGAGAGGGTAAGGCCTTCATACCCCGCGGCGATATATAAATTTATTGTTTGGAAATCAGGTCAGCCGCCGTCTGTACACAGGAATGTTTTCGGGCATTTTTCAAGTCTGCCCCCTAACATTCACCAAGCCCGTATGCATCTTTAATTTTTACAATAGCACAACCAACCAAAGTCCATATGTAAGAAATGAAAAATAAGTGTAATAGTAAGTAAAACGTGTGCCCCCATGGGAAACATAGTATCACGTATTTCGAAAAGAGTGAGCATACACTGCCTCGTATAGGACAAACGCCAGTATAATATTAACACCTAAGTTTTATAAAATCAAGTAATAGATCAGCAAGGAAATAGAATACGTGATTCCTGCTGAAAAATAATAAAAATATATTAAAGATACATTATGGGAGATTAGATAAAGAGCTGGCAGTTCTCACTATAATAGCTAAAAACTAGATAATGTAAAGGGGATTTGCTGAAAATATGTACAAGGCGTGTATGAACCTAATTTATATCTATATTTATATTGTTACTTATTTCCCGCTAATTAGTTTAACTAACGATATTTGGTCATTATGTTTTATACAGCACAAAGAATTTCAAGTTTATACCACATGATCCACAGAACGTATTTCTCACGAATGGTAATTTATACTTAAAGCCGGTAAGTTATATTTCTGATATATAAAACAATTGTTAGGTAAATACCACTGAATAGTGTATGTTATAGATTTATAATTTGTTTAAATTGTGTTGGTAGTAACGCATGTCAATCATTAATTAATAGAATAAAATGGGAATGGTGTGACAAATTGGACGGCACGAATCCTTACACATAAAATTAAAAGTCCTTCTTAATATTAGTTATATTCTATTTTCAGACACTAACAGTCGATAATCCCCATTTTACTGAAAATGATCTGTATCATGGATTACTCGATGTGAAAAGTGAGTTAGTTAGTCTAGTTCACTGACAGCCCAAAGTTTCAACAAAATGCATAAAATCTAATGTTAGCGATAACAAACACCCATATGTCGTACTTAGAATACTTTATGAGTGCGAATGACATCAAAAATTATATCAGATTTTATTGATATATTTAAGCCTGTATGTTGATGATCAAATGGTAACAAGAGTTGATGTTCATTCTAATACTAAAATGTGGCAACATCTTGGTTTCCATGGAAACAATATCTGGTAATGTGGTTCACATCTCGCACCTTTTGATCAGGAGGTCATTATACCATATCATTAATTTTCTTCGGCTTATTAAATTCATGTGGTACTAGCATTGTTATTATTGGTTAACTCTTTCAAAATGTAAAATTCAACAATATATTAAAGATGCATTATGTAAGGGATAAATCATCATGGCTGCCCTCCTAACTTTCGAACAAAAAAATTATTATATCGTCTAGTTGGCAAAATAATCAAACGCTAATTTTAATTTTCTTTTAATTGAATATCGCAAATATTGCCTGAGGCCACTCTGCTTTGTGTGAAATGTTGCGGGCATCTATCATTATTTGTGAATGCAGCTGCAACAGTCTGATTGGATGATTCGAATTCAGCTCGGCACAGAGTGGGATTTCGGTTGCAAAACGATTGAACAACTTTGATGTTACTTACATCACGGGCTAGAACAGCCAAAAATCGCATTTGCGTCAGCTAAATTTGTTACATTTTCTCGGAGTCGGAGAGGGTAAGGCCTTCATACCCCGCGGCGATATATAAATTTATTGTTTGGAAATCAGGTCAGCCGCCGTCTGTACACAGGAATGTTTTCGGGCATTTTTCAAGTCTGCCCCCTAACATTCACCAAGCCCGTATGCATCTTTAATTTTTACAATAGCACAACCAACCAAAGTCCATATGTAAGAAATGAAAAATAAGTGTAATAGTAAGTAAAACGTGTGCCCCCATGGGAAACATAGTATCACGTATTTCGAAAAGAGTGAGCATACACTGCCTCGTATAGGACAAACGCCAGTATAATATTAACACCTAAGTTTTATAAAATCAAGTAATAGATCAGCAAGGAAATAGAATACGTGATTCCTGCTGAAAAATAATAAAAATATATTAAAGATACATTATGGGAGATTAGATAAAGAGCTGGCAGTTCTCACTATAATAGCTAAAAACTAGATAATGTAAAGGGGATTTGCTGAAAATTTCAGTCAAATTGATCCACTCTGAACCGAGATTTTAGCGATTGATTATCGGCCTAGCCACGATCATCATTACTAAAGTCGGTACGATAAAAAAAACATAGTCTCGATTATCCAGTTCATGATTAAATCATGAATGGAAGTCGAACAGCAATTCGGAACCTAATCCAATAAACATCGAAAGGCTAGCGACGACACCCAGGGTTGATTATGATCTGGATAATTTAATTAATGTCCAATTAAAAATTTAGATAACATTTCAGGTCTAAAGAAAGACCTGCAATAGGCAGATTTAGCTCTTGCATAATGTATGTTTAATTAGCTTACGTGTTAAACACCCCTGTGTCAGTAGCTCAGCTTTTCGAATATTATTTAAAATGTTCCTTCGTTTGATCAGTCACAGTTGTTAATAATTCTATGAGATTTAAATCGCATAAAAATGATCTAAATGTGGTTTATGTCGAGTTCAGACATGTGTAATAAAATTTTGATTGGGCTGTGCTTAATAAAACTATTTATATATAAAAACCGGTTTTTAACCGTGTCTGATTGCCATATTAAGTCCACAGAGACTTTAAGACAAACATGATAAGACAAGACAAATCCACCTGGCCTTTTGAATAAGATAAGATAAACTTTGAAACAAGATGAGATAAATTCTAATTAAATAAACACCTACAATAGGTGCAGAAGCCAACAAATCCATGCAAATTGACGTTATATGTGACTTTATTATCAAAATTGTAGTTATTAGACGTTACCTCTGTGAGCAATATATTGTCACAGATTAGACCAGCGGAAAGTGGTACCGAAGAGTAAGCTTATACTCTGTTTTGTAATGAAGCCTGTGGATTAACGTTCTACCTTTCTGAATCAACCAGGTTAATGAAGGTGTGGGTTCTCACTTCAGTAAAAGTCTGATATTGTTGTCTGTTAGAACCCAAAGGAAGGTTTAACAGATACTTAATCTATATAACTTAGTGTATTATGACCAAATATACATTCGTAGTTGTAATTTCATTCATTCAAACAAAAGGAGGATTAGATATCACCTTTATCAGATGTAATTACACACATGTAGAGTTTATGATGGTCACATAATAACCAAACACGTGGCCAATGAAATATTTTAGCTAAAGTAAAAGCAACGAGCTGTATCGCTTAACATAACGAAAATCCATAGATTAAAATGGGGAAATTACAATTAAAAAACTTAGGAGTATTGGATGTTGAACGGGTATTGCCAATAGATTTCTCTGTTAAGCAAAATCGTTTTCGTACATAGTAACATAATAGACCAGACAATCTAACCAGAAACCTATATATGCCCAAACGATGACCATTTATTCACACAAATATTCGTCGTAAGGATAAGAGACTACTGTTTAAATGTAATGTTACCAGTTATTTGTCAGTTTTGTTGAAAATTTAATCATTGCATGTAGAAGTAGATAAATAACGATGATGGCTACTTGAATCACCGTTTTACATATTTCTTGTATACCTTTTCTAGTCCACCGTCAATAAAAGGGACAGTCAAGTCTGGAGATTTTCACTATATCTGTAATTCAGGGTAATGGTTTGACATAGGACACTAGAAATTGCATTCATCTATCATTGTTAGATAGGCCATAAGTAGAAATGAACCTGGTAGTTTTTATGTAGGTCAGAATGATCTATGTAGATAATGAACCCCTTATCGCAAAAGCATGAATTGGTTACATATAAAAGCGTGTTCATCACGAAATCATTAACATTTTTCAGACATTATATAAATGGTGCCTCTTTTAATTCTTATCTGGTCTGTTTGTGTGGCGTGTGCCATACCCGTACCGGATCCTAAATTTATATTATTAGCTGATGGAGGAGGACAATTTTCTTCTGATGGTTTGTATTTAATCTTAAATTTAAATCTTTAAGGGTCCCATGGATTTTGGTGATACAGGTGGTATAGATATACCAATCAATATGTCTGAATTTGGTCATCGGTAAATTATCGCCAAGATTGTTTGAAGGACAATATTGGTGCAAGTCATTATCACATATGTGATAGAGCTGGTTTAACACATTACAAATATAATTTTAACACAGAGATCATTGCTACGATAGCTGAGTAATTCAGGTTTCCTGAATCGGAAGTGAGGAACGCCAAAGGAAAACACGAGTCATCCCTCTATATAACTGACTGATGTGACTAGTGATAACATATACACGGCCGAATTTATGCTCACTAATAATTCCTTCGAAGACCAAAAGTTGTTATATGGGACTGCAAGAGGATACCTGACAATTCAATAAAGTAATTGAATGTCATTAGATAAGAGAACACGAAAAAAATAGAAATAGTCCGTACATTTCCTTGTTTATATTCATTCTATACCTTATACAAACATGGTAATGCACGGACTTTTTCTGTTTTGCTTTCGTGTTCTCTTATCTAGTGGCAGTCAATTCTTTTTATGAACTGTCAGATATCCTCTCACAGTCTCACACAACAACTTTTGGTCTTGTGAGGAATTATTAGTGAGCAGAAATTTGCCCATGTATCTGTTGTTACTCGTTACTTCAGTCAGTTATTTAGAGGGATGCCTCGTGTTTTCCTTTGGCGTTCGTCACTTCCGATTCAGGAAACCTGAATTACTCAGCTATCGTAGCAATGATCTCTGTGTTAAAATTATATTTGTAATGTGTTTAATTAGTTCTACCACATATGTGATAATGACTGACACCAATAGGGGGGTTGGATGGCTGAATGGTTAGCGTGCGCGCGCTGTATCATAAAGTCTGTCATTGAGTCGACTGGCGTGGTTTCGAATCCCCGGTTGTACGTGGCAAGGAGTAGGGTCGCCTGTCCAACCTCGTGGGTTTTCTCCGGGTCCTCCGGTTTTCTCCCACTGCTAAAGACCCCTACGCGCAAGCGAATTATGTAAATAAAATTAAAACCATATGTTAGTCCCAAAATGACCTAGTTTGTGTCGAGTGGACGTTAAACCCCATCTCTCTCTCTCTCTCTCTCTCTCTAATACCAATATTGTCCTTTAACTGGGTTACGCAAGAAAAATAAAAATTTCCCATATTACTTTTCTAGAAAAGTATTCAAAAAACTAAATAGCTTGAAACAAATTAGCATGGGGCTGGGATCCAGGTAAAATATAAAATTAGGAATATAAACCGAAAGAAAACGAAAATGTATTTGGTTTAAATTTTTAAAAAATATTGGATTTAAATGCTATGTAGAAATATTGCCGTTGCGACATTGTTTTCAAATTTATAGAATAAAAAAAAGGGATGGCATTATATTGTATTAATTCATGTCTTTGGCAAGTTTTGGGATTCAAACATAAATATTGTCTAATATTTACTTAAATCAAATTAGCGAATGAGTGACAGATTGTTAGATAAAAAAAGTCATAATGTGGTAAACATTCAATTCCAGGTTGATAACAGATATCTTGTGGGAAATTTCTCCGGTAAATTTCCACTATCCATATAAGAGTGGGTTTCGACGTCATTTAGCTTAATTAGCCAATCTCTATAATTATTTACATCATATTTGACCAATTACATAACTGAAGGTCCAAAACTCAAAGCTACAAAACTATCATATTTGTGAGAATTCGTCCGACAGCAGCTTGATTCTGGAAGAAAAAAGATGTAGCAATTTCTATCGCCCCAGCGAGTCTGGCTGGATGGGGTTTCAGAGAATGACTTTACTGTTATTGTACGATGCTTGTATCTATGTATGCAGCTATGGTATATAAAATGTATATAACTGTTGCATTTTTATTCCTGGTAAGACAAACGTCTTAACTAACTGAGAAAACAGTAAGAAGTAAATACACAACGTGTAGGGGAAGCAAAGACGACAAGTGAAAATACAAAGACGATCAAGGGCTGTTCTTAAATATGTAGCAGAGAAGAGAGAGTATGCGTCACACGTTGGATGTGGGGAGTATTCCCGGCATATTTTCCACATCTAACCAGCGACTGCATAGCATTGCACGGTACTACACTGATTCGTGAATTGGGATGAGCAATTAAATCCAATAAAAAAAATTGTTCCAAAATTAAATGCTGATTCGTGAATTGGGGTGCTTGTCTACGATATCACCCTTGGTGGAAGTGGACGTAAAACTCTAGGAACGAACGCACGCAATTGGGGTTCACGTATAATACCATTGTTGAGAGGGATGATACACTGCATCTTCATTATATGTAATTACAGACATACCAGATGCCATTTCTGTACGCTTTAGATATGCAGTTGATGGCGAATTTCCAAAGCATGGAGAAGCCATTAAAATAGGTAAATATTTTTGTCTTTCGATTCAGTATTATTGGTTTATTTATATTACGTGGATATCAATTTTTAGGTAATAATAATAATAATGTGTATATTTATTATGCGCTTTATGTACATCACTAAGGGCCAAAGCGCGCTAAAATTGTTACACCGGTCTCTAGGATAGAGTGTGATTACCTCCCTTTAGCCCTTAGCTGTTTATACCAAAGACAAAATGCTGCCAATAAAGCAATACCACCCCTGGTTACCCCAGATCCTTCCCAGTATTTAAAACGGCGAGGATGTCACTTTGCATTTATGGACTTAAGAATGGATGGTCCTATGTTATTATTATTATTTTTATTACTTAAACGTTTATTAAACTGTTTCAGATAATGTTTGGTATTTTACGGATCCAAAAATACCGGCTTCTGGAAGCATTGAATATTTCACCATGGCTACTCTGAGCAATGGGGATATCGCCTTAAGTCAGACGATTACATGGAAATCAGGTAAGTCCATGTAATTCCAATTCATTCGGATAAGCCTTCATCAGCAAGTGCAGAATCATAAAAATGAGGAGTGAAGAAGTTCCTTACCTGCTTCGTGCAATAAAGAGATATCCTCCACACGTAATATCCACAAACTGAAAAGGGTTAGCTTTAACTAATATTATTACTTTTGTTACAAATAGCACCAATGGCTACCCTACCGCCTAGACGAATGCGTGGGGCTGTTATGTTTAGAGATGATTTTAATGGAAACCACTTAAATACTAATAATTGGTTGATACAAGTCACTGCAACAGGTGAATGGGTTAGTTTCATTTCTTTATGACACTCGATTTTGTCCAATTTATTGGAAACCTTTTTTTTTAAAACAGAAAACTGGAAAATTAAAAGCTAACGACCACTACGAGCAAGCCAATTATTGAAACAAAATGACATAGTTTGTGTCGAGTGGACGTTAAACCCAATCGCTCTCTCTCTTTCTCTCTCTCTATTTCGCTTCTAATTACATAGTGATGATTTTTTTTTGATTGTTCTGTTTTATTCAGCACAGAGAATTTCAAGTTTATACACATGATCCACAGAACGTATTTCTCAGGAATGGTCATCTATACTTGAAACCGGTAAGTCATGTTTAGTTAAATATTATTGAATCGTGATTATTATACATAATACATTCTTTGAATTGTTACACATGACATTCAACTATACTAGAGTCCAATTCAAATGCTATGACAATAAAACATCAAGAATCTTTAGCATTTTAGTTAAAACTTCTATTTTCTATTAGTCATATTCTCTTTTCAGACACTAACAGTCGATAATCCCCATTTTACTGAAAATGATCTGTATCATGGAATACTCGATGTGAAAAGTGAGTTATATCAATTTGTTTATTTCAATCACAGCCCAAGGTTTAAACAAAATGCTAAAGACTTGATTTGCTCATTTTGTACAGCTTTAAATTTAGTTCCCCGTGGTGTATGTGATATAATTTAAGTAACATGATGGAGTTTGTGTACAGAGTTTTGAGTTCTGTTTAAATTAAGTTTCCCGTGGTATCTGTTTTTAATTTGAGAAACTTGATCTTGCCTCTTTTGTACAACTTTAAATTGAGTTTTCTGTGTTATCTATAATTTAAGAAACATGGGGTGTGTGTACAGATAATGGATTCCATGGGTGTTATAGAAATGCAAAAGATGGACTTTTACCACCATTATTATCTGGTAGAGTTGACAGCAAACCAACCCTTAGATACGGCACCGTAACCGTTCGAGCTCAAATACCCAGAGGAGACTGGTTGTGGCCTGGTATGTTTCAGCTCATATCAATAAAATTAGAATGTCCAATAATACACTTCCGGATCACGCACCAAATCGTTATTTCTACAATAATTTGTTTTATCTATTTGCAGCTATAATTTACATGTATTATAATTTTAGCTATATGGCTGATGCCAAAAGCACAAAAATATGGATATTGGCCAAGATCTGGTGAAATTGACATGATGGAGGCTTCATGTAAGTTTCTACTATTTTAAAGCGACATCCCAGAATAATAGTAAAATTATATATTAATCCATAAATCATTTAAATATATCAGTTCTTCAGTTTCAATTTACCATAACTTTTTCCCTCATCATCTTTATGCTTTTGTAGTTAACCTAACGTACTTTTTTTTTTAAATAACTGCCTAAATAACTCCTTTCATCCCGTATCAACGGCTTTAAATTATTACCTCGACATTCATATTCGTTATAACTGCAGACGTATATAATTATTGTTATATTTAATTAAACCATAATAAATATTAATTTTGTCTTATTTAAAGATAAAATATTGTTTCTTCTTCTAGGTAACGAAGTGATGCACTGGACCAATGGTGGACAGAAAATTGGAGTTCAGCGTGTCACATCATCTATTCATTTAGGTCCCGACGCAAGTGGAGATCGCCATATCACCGGTGCAAAGTAAATATAATGCATTTGGACACCTTTTTTCTTCATTTTTCGACAACATTTCCTCATTATGTTTGTAGAAGAAGGTTGCCATAATATGAAACCCCAACAAGAACAAACTGTCGTAGAAAACATGATTGTTTACAGCTTATTTATGGATATGATCATTTTACAGATATAAAACATCTGGTGATTGGCATGGTTTCCATACATATAAATTAGACTGGTCGCCTGATCACGTTATGTAAGTATATAAAAACCCTAATAATTTTTCCTTCTCTTTACTTGGGGAATATGAGCCCCCAAAAAAGGGATTAATCATCTTCTTTACCTTTTAATTTATACATTTACAACTGGGTGCAAATCGTATCAAAATAAATTCCCCACTATATACCACAAAAGTACACTGAACTACATTGGATAATTGTTAGCGCCCCACTAGGCATTCAAATATAGATGAGTTTAAATAAAATTGGTTGATAGCCATATTTATGGTGGCTGAAAGCGTCCATTTAGATCGGCGGGTTTCTAGATACAACGCGAGAGTCGCCGTTAAGCCAGCACTTGCTTAACGGCGACCCGCGACTTTCACAACACGAGAGTCGCCGTTAAGCCACGCGACGAAAAAGTCGCCGAAAAAAATCGGCGCTTTTTTCGTCGTGCTGGCTTAACGGCGACTCTCGCGTTGTATCTAGAAACCCGCCGATCTAAATGGACCACTGCTGACAACTACTGCCTCGTATGACACCCAGAATAATTATTGACTTCAAAATTTGCGATTATTAGTCTCCATAAAAGCCCATAAACAACTATATTATTTAGATTTTCGGTAACTGACATTTATTATTTTGCAACATTTAAAAAATATCTGTGTGTGTGTGGGGGGGGGGGCGTCCAACATTATAAAAGATCAAATTTTATTGATATATTTAAGCCTGTATGTTGATGATCAAATGGTTACAAGAGTTGATGTTCATTCTAATACTAACATGTGGCAGCATCTTGGTTTCCATGGAAACAATATCTGGTCAGGTGGTTCACATCTCGCACCTTTTGATCAGGAGGTGGGTGTATTTTAATTTCCGCCAATGTATCCTATTAAAGATGCATTCTCACGAAAGTATTTATCAGGTGGTTATTTCCAACAAAAGTATAGCAAATTTGCTATACGATGTAGCTATATGGGAAGTATATACTGGTTTACCCGAAAAACACCCATGGGGCAAGGACTGGGCAAAAATACCAGACCATCACTAACTGGCAACCAGACGGCATATGGTCTGTCAGCTTGACTTAGGGAGCTGTTGTTATTTCTTGATCGAATGGTTAGGTAGTTTTGGGAACTTGAGGGGTTTAAACGTATAACGGACTTTGCAATTAAACGTAAAAAGAATTTACTTAGACCTTAATATGTATGGTAAATGGACAGTAAGTAATTACAAATACATTCTGAAAAATGGACCTTTCCTCAATCAAGTTAGGTAACAAACATGGCTTCTGAAAATAGTTCATTTTTTTATAGATTGGGGTATCTCTCATGAATACGAATTTTTGAGAGGGATTTGAAGCAAATTTTGATTTAATTAGTTTGAATATGTTTTTAGTCCAAATATATTATCAAATCACACAGTTTGTGCTTGGGAAGGTACTTAATTGATACGGCCATGGCTGACAGTCATGGTTTAAGTCTATAAATGGAAGTATGGTAACGTTATTCAACAATTTATCGATTATTAAAACAGAGTATCATCGATCCTAAATGATAATGAAATTTGTAAGGCCATATATACGAACTAATAATTAAGTGTAATAGTAAGTAAAGCGTGTATCCCCATTGGAAAAGTAGTAACATGTGTTTCGCAACGGTAAGTTGCCTCGTGCAGGACACACACCAGTACTATAATAACACGAAAGCTTATGGATGAAATAGACCTGCAATGTTACAAGAACCAGACGTGTCTTAACTATCAAAATCTACTTGTTTGACATCCCCATGAGACCAATAAGGAAACCGAGGATGCTCGTTTAAATTCAAAATTTGGCCTAATATTTTTTTTATCCGGCTTTCTTTAGTTTTGCTTACTTGACGGCTACACATTAGTATGTAAAGATCCTTGAAATGAGAAACAAAACTTTATGTATTAATATGTATAAATTTCGGTTGTAATTTATCACTCAAATTCTTAATTCAAAATTAAAGTAGCTAAGTCTTACACGTTGAAAACGCGAATTATTTGTCAATTCAAATCAACATTGATGTTGTGATCTTACCGGGAAAGAGTAGGCTTCTGCTATCTAATATTTAAGACAAAATAAACATGTTACCATTGGTACACGAATCGTGTACCATAGTGCGTTTCAGCGTCATTTGTAACAAGTGACCAGAAAGAACGAGGCTAGACATATTCCACATCTCATGTCAAACGGTCACGCCATATCTTATCTAGAGAGCATGCCTAATAGACTGGAATAACAAGACGCTAGGAATTGCCATTCGGTTGAGACTCATGCCGTATTTCGCTGGACGTAACTGATTTGAAATTAGAGTCAAAACGGAAACAATTATATGTAAATCAGTTTATATACAATCAGATTACATTATTATATGCGTTGCGACCCATTTGGGTCAATTTCTAGGTCCCAAATATTAGCGATTTGGCTCCTTTAAGTGTTTCTTTTTATCATTTACAGTTCTATTTGATATTAAACGTAGCCACCGGTGGAGCTCCTGGAATATTTGGAGAAAACGGAGTTACATATGCATATCCTAAACCATGGCAGAATAATGCTAAAGATCCAATGGCACAATTTTGGTCAAACAGAAACAATTGGTTACCAACTTGGCACGGAGATGATGTGGCTATGATCATTGATTATGTTGAGTTTAGACATGTGTGATAATATGCTTTTTTAAGATGTTCCTATCAGTAAAAATAATTATACAAAATGTTTTGAATTGATTTTATTTACCCACAAAGTTACGTTAAAATCCTTAATAATTTTATGAATCTTAATACAACAATTTTGGAAAACAAATATTGTAGTCATTGGTAACGGTTTTAGATCAAACGTAGCAATTAATATTAAGTATGATTATTGGACATGCGCATGTTATGTTTATTGATTTGGAATACACAAAATAGCCGAAGGGAGGGAGGGGGTCTATACAATTTTCAAGGTTTATGGAAAACTTCGATCACAGTATTCGAATGATATAGACATATATTGATTTTCGGAATTGCTTATTATCAGAATAGATCTATTGTTGTTATTCGATTCCACTAAGGTCGTTTTGTCCTCTTGAAAACGACACAATCTTATAATTTTGTTTGATCAAGCATACTAGTATCAGACGAATCTCACAACCTTGAAGATATTTCGTGCACAATCTTACACTCAAGGCGTATCGAGATACGTGTACAAGAATTATGAAAAAACAAAAAGAAAGCAGAAATCCAGAATAGTATAAATGCCATTGAAAGCAAAACAGATACGAAAATGTCATACCTGCATAAAGTGACAAAGAAATAATCAATTTGTTGTACTTATTTGAATTACACAAGAGAACGTGGAGAAAACCCACGAGGTTAGACAGGCGACCCTACTCCTTGTCACGTACAAGCGGGGAATCGACACCACGCCACTTATTGTCTCAATGACAGACCTCATGATGCAACGCCCACGCGTTAACCGTTCGACCACCTAACATCCGGCCGCATTTATACTATTCAAAAAAAGTAGGGGATATTTGATTTTTAAGTGTTATTAAAGTCACCTAATGAAACTGACGAAGAAACAAATGACAAAATGAAATAAGTTCACATTCATCGATTTATTCCAAATGATCGTTAGACTAAGTAAGGCACAGACTGACCATTATAAGGGTAAAATGATACCCGGGGTCAAACAGCAAAGTTACCACAGCATCACAACCAAGTCAGTAACGGGTAAATCCTCCTCTGTTTGCCAAACAAGCATTGATCCGACGTGGCATACTCTTAATGAGACGTCTAAGGTCATTTTGGTCCAGATTGTCCCATTCCTGTTGCAACGCAGCAGCAAGTTCTTGGACATTGGCAGGACGTTGTTGACGTTGACGTAACCTCTGTCCAAGCATGTCCCAGACATGCTCGATGGGGGAGAGGTCGGGACTCAATGCTGGCCAAGGTAATGTGGTGATGTTCTGTTGTTGGAGGTAACCTGTAACGATCCTGGCCCTGTGACATCTTGCGTTGTCATCCTGGAAGATGAAACGGCGGCCATGACGTCGTGCGAACGGCACAACATGGACTGCCAAGATGTTGTCCCGGTAGTACTGGCCTGTAACACGCCCTGCAACAACATGTAAAGCCGTTCTTCCAGCAACAGTGATGCCTCCCCACACCATAACAGAACCACCCCCAAATCGATCATGTCTGATGACGTTAACGTCTTGGAAGCGCTCGTTTCGACGACGCCACACCCTCCTACGTCTGTCCAAAAAATCAACAGTGAACCTTGACTCATCTGAAAACATCACATTGCTCCAGCGTCGATTATCCCAGTGTTGACGATCCCTACACCAACGACGTCTTGCCTGAATGTGATGATCTCTCAAACAAGGGATCACGCGAGGACGTCGGGCGCGAAGGTGACCCCTATGCAGTCGATTCCGAATCGTCTGGCCACTCACTCTCACACCAGTGTCTGTTTGAAGACGAGCGCTGATCTGATTTGCTGTGATGACACGATTTCTCAAGGCCAAGGTACGGATAAATCGATCCTGGGCTTGAGTTGTCCCCTTGGTCGACCTGAGCGTGGTCTGTCCTGTACAGATTGTGTATCACGGTATCTGGACCATAGCCTGCTTATGACAGACTGAGAAACATTCATCGTCCGCGCCACAACCGCCTGTGTTGTGCCGATCTGTAGCATGCCAAGGGCACGTAACCTTGTATTTTGGGTAAGCCGACGCATATCAAAATTTGTTTTCTGGTCACTAAAACAATTAAACTGATGTTTCCACCCTGGAATTCAATGCCACAATGACTGTAACATTCAAAGTCAGAGTCGTGCAAATCTTGGGTTGGACCCCCATGATGATCCCAGGCATCACCTGCATTCCATGCGGTAGCTATTGGTGCGTTTGGGCGTCACATGTAACTGGAAATGTTTCTTCTGTTAGATTCTATAGTGACTGTTTTCGTAGTCATTTGCATATTTTAGTATTATGCCCCCAAAATCAAATATCCCCTACTTTTTTTGAATAGTATATGACATATTTGCAAACTGTGACTGTAATTTATTCTAGACACTACTGTCCATTATGTATTGTTTAATGGTCGAGAGCGAGACATTAAGTAATATATTGTAACAACAAGAGGGCCGTGAGCCCCAAGTGTTTTTACAATATATTACGCAATGTCTTTAGCTCGAGACCATTAAACGACTTAAAATACAGACACCCCACACGTGCTTTTACAGTTAAATACGTCACACGAGTCCAATATTTCACTAGTATAAATGATGTACGATTGGCAATTTGCCCGTACGATTATTTGAAATAATGGTACGCCAACATCAAAGGGTGACGACACATCTGTATTTTAAACACGTTTATGCACTGATGACATTGGTATATCCCAAATTCAATGCCTGTTTCCAAATCATAGCGGTCCCGGATTCCATCTCGGTGTTGGCGAAATTTCCACTTGGTGCAGGAAAGGGGGGTCAGATAAGGAAAAGCGTCCATTCATTTCATTTTCCATTTCCTATTACATTGTTTCGCGTTATTGTATTGATGTATGTGTATCTGTTACAGCCACAACATACCAGAATGAAGGTTAAATATAGATATAAGACATACCAAATCAAAAGTACCTTTATTATTATTTTTTAAAAAACATGATTCTCAAATTTAATACCCGAACAGATTCTTCCTCTTTTTAAAAGATAGGTTCATCTTATTCGGCTATTTTGTACGGATTGTCATATTTATCTACTGTTATATAACACCACAATAATGTGTAGGGTATATTATAACCATGCTTTTTCAACAGACAATACGGGGTAAGTAGTAGTTATGGCGATTAAGGCCCGAATTATTTGAAGGCTCCCAAATTATTTGATAGGGTTTATGTCGAGTTCGATCCGCCTTAATGAGTTTAAGAAATGAAATGAGAGAAAGAGAGAAAAATGGGGTATAACGTCCACTCGACACAAACTAGGTCATTACGGGACTAGCATTTAGACCATTTTTTTTTCAATAATTCGCTTGTGCGTAGGGGTCTTTAGCAGTGGGGGGAAACCGGGATTCTTGGATTCCTTCATTGCCATACCATGTTCTATGTCATACCGCTATGTAATAAATTAAAACGAGATTATCAACCAGAGCCACATACAGGCTTACTAATCAGAAGAAATCTTATACATCGATAGGAGCTGTATTGGGTGAGGTGTATAACAAAAAGGTGCCTTTTTGAACTAAATTGAAAACACTGTTTTCTAAATTCAAACCTTTTCAGGGGCTCCGGAACGTCGGAGATACAGAAACGACAAATTCTATCAGATCAGAATCAAGAATCAATTTGTTGCCCTTTGGACATACAAACCGAACAAAAACCGCGAATCCAGGTTCCGTCTTAATTTCATCTGGTTCAAAAATATAAAATGTGCATTGTATCTGATGACATACAAAGTACATTTACATAGCCGAATAATATTTAACACTGCTCTGATCTAGCAGTGAACTCTATATATGCACATATATACGTCTACTTCGTCCATAAGATGTTTCTGAATAGAAGCAAACATACAGTTGTTTAGCGACATTCTGTAACGGGACCATGGTTTGGTACAGTACATACACTAAATTTCGTTCAGCTAAGCTTAGCGCGATAGACTTATATATCTTCAAAAGTTTGTGTATGTAGGGAGACATTTCTTAGTTCTTAGTTCAAGGAGAAGAATTCATCGTGTCGCAGACAGTGCTTATCTTAGTCACTCTTCTTTCGGAAATTTTATTCCTGAACATTTTGTACCCATAACCCCGCCGAAGTAATTATATTATATGTTTTATCAAACGTTTGGACATGCATCGAAAGAATAAAAGTACACACACACACACACATGTTGCTTTAAGTGAAATAAGTCACACGTCTATTGTCGATAAAACAAAGTCATATCTTCGTGTTATGTCTATACAAACTTGTCTTGTGCCATTTTGTTCTAAGAAAATACCTTATACACTAAAAGCGCCGTGGTTGTAAAGTTGTTGTCGTTTCCGTAACTGTACTGGTAAATTCGACAATTCTGTAGATTAGTTTCAGGGTCAAAGGTGAATCCTTCGCAAATGTCTTTGTGATTTATGCATGATTGTGCGCACATTAAATTATTTACAGCATCACGTGAGGAAAAAAATGACATATCATATAGGTTGTGATTTCTTTGTACTTGGTAGAGAATTCCGTCCAATTCTGTGGTAACTGCAACTGAAAAATAGAAAAGTTGAAACAGTATAATGCATAATGGATTCCCAGACGTCCAAGCCCAATCTAATTAACTTTGTGGGTGTCTTTAATATATCCAAAAATGAAGTTTTATTAAGCTTCGGGCAATCAGATTTTTCTGGCAAATGGCTTTCGAAAAATAAATAAAGTGCTCGAAATCCTTTTAAATGTATACGTCGGATTTGTATTTAATAGTCTATGTATTAAAATTCTTTCATTTCCGCACCCCACCCTACATAAAAATCATCGGCCGTTACGCCTATGGACAAGATGACATAGATTGTGTTGAGTGGATGTTAACCCCCCCCCCCCCCTTCCCTCTCAAACAATAACATACTTTAAAGATAAGATTAACGGGATACCTTTAGGTACTTCACACAAGTAATACATGGAGCTGGTGCACCCGGACAATGTCCACTTTCCAGTTTTTGA